CCTTATGCATAATGACGTCACAAGGCTTGATGCCCACGAAGAATGCTGGTCTTAGTAGTCATCGCCCGGGAAAATTAAACAATTCAAAATGACCACTATCGAAATTTTCCCAGGCGATGACTACTAAGACCAGCATTCCTCGCGGGTATCAAACCTTGTGACGTCATTATGCATAAGGTCTGTTGGAGTTGCCAAACCACACGTGTACTGATTGCCATTAAAAACTCATAAAGGCCATTTTACACGGGGCAATTTTTTGATGGAACTTGAAACTTGTAGTAGTTCTTCATTCTCATTCATTCCTTTCTTGCCTTGATCATGTTGTAAGCTAGAACATAGACGACGAAAAGCCTCGGTGGAAAAAAAATGCTGACCATGCTCTCCATTCTTCTGCAAAACTTTCTAAATAAAATGGCTTTGTCAGAAATTGCGTTGCAATTTGCAGCGACGATTCCCTCGTGTAACATGGCTTTTAAGACTTAAGTATTAACTAGTGCCCAAAAAAACGTTAACCGTGATGCGTGGACCCTTACAATATTTTTTCTGAACCAGACTGTGGCACCTTTTTATGGTATCTGTGAATTCAACTTTTTATGGTATCTGTCCTATCACGACCTCGATACGAGAAATAATTTAATAATGGTGTTAAAGTATTATTTGTTTTGGTCGTAGTATCTTTGTTATTTTTACGTGGACGACCGAGCCCCACGGCTCGGCATCTGCCTAGTCCAGTTGTCGGTTTGGTATGTAGACCTAGATTGAAAAGGAAAAGAATAGAACATGAGGGAGGTTCAGATTTGACTTCCAATACCGCTCACTTGCTCTGTGTGCATTTGATTGGTTAATCGGATAGACTAAAGGCATATGAGTGGTTAATGACCTCAATAAAGAGATGACCGTAATGCGAGGTTTCACTGTACATAACATCTCGTACACATACTTTGATGAAACTTCACTTTTGTCAATAACTCGATTACACTTGTGATATGACATAGCAAGTCTAAACCATGCTTGAAAGGTGGATGAAGCAAGTAGTATACTTACCGAGTAGTTTTGGTCGTGTCCTTGCCATGGTATTGTCAGGGCTTATAGCGTTGATCTAAAACGACAAACGCAAAATCTTAATTTCAATGGTCTCGTTCGTTTGAGTCAATTTCTCCTTGGGGGCACTTTGGTGCATAAATGCGATGTCAGGGCTGCCAAAATAACCGGAGCTCCGGCGGGTGCCACGAGGTTTACCGCCGGTTACTTTGTTTAGTACTTGAATTATCCTTACGGTACTGCTCTCCTTCCTCCACTCTAAGCTTTCAAACAAAGTTATTTTTCCTCAACTTGGTCTATCATATACTTTATAGTCTGGTTATTTTCGAAAACGACATACTATTTCGTAAAACCGATTTAGTTATTTGCCATCTTAAATCTTGAAATTATCTTGTTGAAGAATGAAAGTAATGATACATTATAATTTGGTTATAGAGCTCATTTGTGTTGCTATCTAATCAATACTCCGCCCCCTCACAACAGCCACCTACTTTATCAAAACCAGACACCTACTCAGAATAATTCTGAAAGCCCTGCGATGTTCAGCACTCTCTTCCACTGGCACTGAAAACTATATGCGAGCCAAAATGATTAGAACTTATAGAATTTAGGAATATCACCTTTGATTCCTCTTGCGTCAAGTATGATGTGTCTTCCACTTCACGTTGATCATACTTCAACAAATTTCTATAATTTTCCTTCTTGTTTTCATCCCCTGTTTCATCTTCCTGACTTTCAATATATTTCCCATCTAGTTCGCAATTTGGAGGCGAGCGGTCAGCTAGGACTGTCCGTTTTGGTGAAGTAGTGATCGCCTCTGTTTTACTATCCTCTGTCATTGCTCTGGTTTTCTTAAACGCAAACTTATCCAACGACATTTGACTGGATATTGATTTCTTTCTCATAGGTTTCTGTTTTGTGTTCTTCTTTCTTCTTGTAGGCGTTGTAAGAAACTTGGGGAGGGGTGGAAAGTCTGTTGTTGATAGGGGTGGACTGTTGGTTTGAGGTGGTGGTGGGTTAGTTGGCAGTTCTGGGTCAATACAGTTGTCTGTTGGTGAATTCTCCGTTGTTTGACTACTACTAAGATAGCCTGATTCTTGGAACTCAGCGTCCTCCTGTTCGTTAGAATTTAGAGACACGTCGCGCGAAGATATGGAACCCTGGGAATCCGTTACTTCGGTTTCGGCGTTTTCTTGTTGTTCAGTGAACGAATCTTCAACGGTCGTTTTAGCCGTATTGTTTGTGAACCCCACTAACGGTTCATTCTTTATGATTTCCATACCCGCCAGACCAAAATACCTGCACACAAAAATATTTTATCATTGGAGAATTATACTTAGTGTCTCTAAACACTAACTTTATGTACACTGGATAGTTCTATCAGTTCTGAACAATAGTTTCCGGTCCAAAAGGGGCATCCCTTATTGTCCCAGTCTTACTGCAGCCGAAAGGAAGAATCCTGCGGTGTTTAGTAAAGTCGAACATGAATAATTTTGATACAACTTGAGTAGTACTAGTTTAGTTCTATCCATTCTGGGGAAGGTTGCACGAAAGCCAGATAGCGCTATATCTACCGGATAATGATTTTTTCAAGCTTTCCTAAATTGGCCGTTGATTGGTATAATCCAGATTAAACTTTACTAAGTATATAAAAATTATAGTTTCCTTTTATTACTTGTGGGATCCATATCCGTATTTTATAGCTTTTCCAGCATTTTTACAATGCCGGGTTGAAAAACCAGTGGATAGCGCTATCCGGCCCTTATAGTATTTAAATATTTCCATCATTAATTCTTATGAATTGAATCGAAATACAGTACCGGCTCACAACTTGTTCGCTCTGTGTTTGTGGCTTTTTTATAACTGGACTTCTGAACGGATTACTTCGTCTTATCTTTAGTTGTGGTTGGACACTCGTTCGGAATTGTGTAGCTGATTCTGATGTTGGTTCTGTTGGTTCAAATTTGATATCAACTGTCACTTCATCCATAGATGTTGAATACAATCTCGCTAACTTTGAACTTTCTTGTTGATGCTCATCTGTTTTTGTAACAAAGAAATTGTTATGAAACGTTTACATACAGTAGTGTTTCCAGGATCGAAGTTGATTATCTCCGCCAGAAGGTGTGTGTGTGTGTTTGTTTGTGTGTCGATGAGCACGATAACTCGAAAAATATCAAACAGACAATCAAACGTAGTAATACGAACATTTCTGAGACTAATGAACATAGCCCAAAGACAAATTGATTAAATTATGGGTAAATTTTATTGAAAATTGGATGAGAAATTTATAGCAACATTGTTTTGCCGGGCAGAGTAAACTGAATGCATAATTAGCATATTGTATAATTTATGCATGATATATAACTTAAATCGTTGGTGGAGATATGCAGTCTCCGAGTGACCTCTAGTTTATTCTCATTTCATGGTTGAAGAAAACAGTTGAATAAAAACTAAAAAACCTCCTCTTGGCCTTTAACTTAGTCATCTATAAGCCTCGCGTTTCCATAACTAGACTGGAAAGCAGTAGTAGCAGCAGTAGTAGCGTTTCCCAACCTGATTTTGTGCGTGTTCTCTTGTTTCTCACTGGAGTAACAAATTGACTGTTTGCTTTCTCCGACGATTTTGTTTCACGGAAGGTGCCATTCAGATTCTTCTCAGCGTCGTACGTTTTATTTGAGAAGAGTGCGGATTGGGATTTCTTGACTTGCGGACAGATGGAGGCTTTCATGGATGATGTCTTTTCCTTCTCAGAGCTCGTGTCTTCTTCGTGTTCATCACATGACAGTGCCTGCGTTTAAGAAAAGCATGACTTCACTAAATTTATTTCTCTACTATTTACTTCCTATATACGAATCTGTACTAGTGATTATCCGGGGTTACAAATTGAAGACTCTGCCAATAAATAATCGTGCCGTTTAAAAAATAAAACAAATCAAGTCCTTTATGCATGAGTCAATGTAACCCCCCACCCCCACCCCGGGCCATGGTGGGGGTTAATAGGGGATTGGTAGGGGTTTAGATCAGAAAATACTCCCAAGAGGGTGGGGGATTTGAAGCTTTTAGAATTTATTTATCCCCATGATATGGGGATTGGGTAGGGATTAGTAATGAGCCAGTTGTCGATTTTTCAGCGGTTGTTCATCTCAAGTAACGTTTTATCGTCTAGCTTGTATTATCTTTGCTTACGTGTGCTTTTTGAAGTTTTTGTACCAAACCTTTTTCAATGCAATTCATAGTAGTTCATTGCAGTCCATACATAGTTATTTTGAAATATAAACTGTTTTAGCAATGTTTAATTAAAAACACTTAATTTACGGGCGAATGCCCCAGGTACAGGGGACATTTTTTGACATTTGGAACCTTTGATAGTTCCCAGGATGTGGGGCATTTGCGAATATTAGAACAAGGTCAAAGTCAAATCCCCACCCTGTCCCGGGGTGGGGGAGGTTGGGGTTTACATTGACTTATGCATTACTACTATATGTAATATGATAAACCTGAACATCAGGAAGCTGCGGATTGAGAGCTAGGGATTCGCTTTTACATCATTTTCAGCTACATACTGCTAACTCCCCGACGAAGGGCCTTCTCTCGAAACGTGGAAGTTTTACTTCACTTACTTCAGGTAGTTGAATCCACGGTTAATGGATATGTAAAACTCACAGTTATGAAACTGTGCTACTTTTCAAAATTCCATTCAGAAATCAACCACGAGGTTGCTCAGAAATACGTATGGCATGACGTTCCCCAGTATATGTAGTGCACGTTCCTTTCATGACTCTGTTACCGGGATTTCTGCCTCACTACAAATCCAGTATCTGACATACCTTGGTTAGCTGAAAATTTCCTATCCTTATACCCGTGAGAGGATTGAGATTCCCAATAGCAAGGTCTAAAGCATCTTCTTGTTTCCATTTCAAACTACTACGAGTCGTTAAGGAATAACTGCAAATTTTAGAGACTACATCTTGTCTTCAGAGATGGAAGAGGGGCTTTCAATGTTACTGTTGTTATCTGTTAAGGGGGAGGGGAGGGGGGGAGTAAAAAGTATTACCTCGCTCGCGATATTTCTCATCAAGCCCTCCATAATTTTCAGGATTTCGCTTTGCGTTCATGGGACGCATGAACCTCGACAAATTCAAGCGGGCCAGCTACCCTTACGAATCTGGAACAGGAGGAAGTTGCGATGCACTATTGCACTATAAAAGGATACTGTCCAGCAAAATGTAAATAAGCAGGATCAATGTCGTCAGGTAGTGGGTTCAATGGTACCAGTTTATTTGTATTCGGATCAAACACGATTTGGTAGAGAAATGTCTGTTCTGCTTTTTCAAACCTTGTCTCGTAATCCTTTGGAACGTTCATCTTTGTGTTTAGTCGTAACGTACCAATAAGCTGAAACAAAGTTGAAACAGTTACCACAATATATGTTGCTTTTACAATGCTCAAGACGTTTTCCAGACTTGTAAAGGGTCGAAGTTTACCCCCAAAACGCGTCTTCGGTGTTTTGATATAACCTAATGGAAGTATACAAAATGGTTGCAAGCACGGCAATTGCTATAACAGAGTCACAATTACTGCTATAGCTATCAGAACCAAAATTACCAAAACCACCATCAATACACCATCATCATCGTCACCATGCACTAGCATAGAAAACTACCATTACTACCACAATCATGTCTGGTCCAGCACATCGTCACTTACACCATCATTCATCATGACATTACCACCACCACCACCATCATGAAATACTGTTTGTTTATATAAGAACAGTTTTTGTTTTCATAAGTACAGTACTTGCTGGACTAGAGTACTTCTAAGAATGGATAGAAACTTAAAAACCATGAATCCCATATCTGTATACCTTTTTCACAGTGGAGTGTGTCCTTAACATTTTATGAGCTGTCATTAGTCCCATTCCTTTGACAGACTGAAGATAATCACAGCCCGACAATATGCACATTTCTCGAAACTTCTGCTGTGTGAAGCCGTCCATACGAAGTCCTTTAAGTTTTGGTAATTGTTTGATGTCGATCATCAGGCCTGATCCATTTGCATCCATTTTGAAGATAACCTACAGAGAGAGTGGTGGAAAATCACCACAGCTTAAATTTTCTAACTCGAAATTTCCAAACATAATATCATTAGATGACTTGAAAATTCATTTTCCCTTGTTTTTCGCTCCACAAATTCATCTAATAACATCAAAACTGAAACTGTGACTGAGTGAAAGAGTGGGTAAAGATGAGATTTTTGCTATGAAGATTTCATACCATTCCTCCTTGAATGACCCAAGTAATATACACATACAAAAATCTAGCTGTTCTAGTTTAATGATTAATTTTTCACATCACAAAATTTGCATTATTTGATTATACCTTCCCACAGCCATAGACGAGTAAATCGGAATCTTCACTTATTATACATTGGGTGATCCCAGTCTTCATTAGATATGCAAGTTGTGCGTCTGCTTCGTATGGTGCAACAATACAGTCAATGCCTTTCTCACGACATGCCTGTTGGGTAGACAAATTGAGTGGAATAAATTTCCTGATTTCCTCAATACAATTGCTTAATATAAAACTGTTATATTTCCAGATCAGAGAATATATGGCCATGATTCTTTCATGTCCATGACACCAATACGGGGGGATTGGAGAACCTAACTCATCTCAGAGGTGATTGAAAGGTGCTTGCTCTGATAAGTCTAATGATTGTGCCACCTGAAGACCTTATTACAGTCCCATTGGTTACTGCTTGTCCATGTGCATGCCTTTCACATGTCACTGTTGCAACCATGTTTTGATTCTCATACAATATGCACTTTCTCTGAATATATTTCTCAGTCATATTTCTCATGCATGGGAAGAGTGCTCCAATTTAACTCTTAGCTAAACACCACAGGTTTTTTCCTGTGACAATAGACCAATATGTGATTTAGTCAAACAATAACAATAGTTAATAAGAGTATATGGTGCAGCACAAAACAGAGCCTCAAGTAAAATGATATAAAACAAATTTGTTAGGGAAGGTTTTTTCTCATGTTGAACCTGCAAAATATAACAACAGTCTGTGACAAAAAAGGATTTGTCACTTAATGATGAAAACATACTTTCATAACATTAAGTGCCATCTCTGGTGTGATATCAATCGATTTCTGAAAACATTCAAAAGCTTGAGTTCTGTTGCCATTTTTAAGATGTTCCAATCCTTGAGATTTGTTTTCTTTTCTTCTCCTGGATAAAACATTGTAGAATGGAATTACGTATCAACAAATATCAGGATTTTAGCTGCTGAGTGAATGATTTTGTTGATGGAAATTTTTATTACAAAATGTAGACCTAACCAGGAGCAGTTGTGAAAAATACAACTATAGGCCCTTTGGCAGGAATTGAACCTGCTACCCTGTGATTCTGGTGCAGCACTCTAGATAACCAACTGAGCTAATTTGATCACAATCACAAAGAAATTATTAAAGGTCGTACTGTCTTCTTTCAGCTTCTTTTTCACTCTTTGAAGGCAGATATCCTCCATCAAATACAAGAATTGGTTTTACTTTATAGTAAAGCATCATGTTCACTCTTCTCATAACATAGTTGATGTACCTATTGGAAACAAAACAACAACTGTTTAACATACTAAGATGCAATGCACTCGACTTTACTATTACTGTCTAATGCCAGATGATTTTCTTGTCAAGGGGAGAGTCTTGCACATTAATGAGTTAACCAATCTATCTAGTACTGTACCAATGGGTCTTGTTAACCCATTTAGTTGCAATGGGCCTGATAAACCATGAACCCATAAAGTCGCATTGTACGCTGCTGGTAGCCAGCAATCTATTAAAATTGACAGTAATATGCAACAGGGATACAAAGGGAGTGTGCTAGTGGCAAAGTGGATAGGACAAACACTTGCAAGCCAGAGCGTCGGGGATCAAATCCTACACTAGCTTTTTTTTCCTTAAAACTTTTTAATTTTTTTTTCAAACTAGTTTTATTAACTCTCAAATTATTTATTTACACTTTCTGGGTAGAGCTAATTAGGGTTAGGATCGGTATATTTTATAAAAATCTACTTCTATATGACTGGAAAAATTAGATAGCAGGCTGCAAGTTGTCTGGTCATAGCATGATATATGGGTTAATAATGGGCATGGTATAAAATACACAAAGCCTTCCTTTTACATGTAAAAGCATGTGGGGTTAGACAGAGTACAATACACGAGTCATGGGGGGGGGGGGGCGCATTGCAGGCTTTGCAGCCTAGTCGATTAATAACCACATATTAAAACGCAAAACAAACATACAAATCTGAGTCGTTTCCTTCAGCCAGTGCTAAAGCACATCCATAAGCTCCCTTGTGTAGCCAACAGTAAACATCCACCCCTATAGTACTCCCTGCTAACTCCGAGATACAAATCGGCTGCTGGATCGATTTTAACAAAGGTAAAAGCCCTTGAATGCCCATCTCACTCACGACAAAGTCAATCGACGTGAAATTTAATTTGTATTAATTTCTTTTTATTTCACAGCTTTTCCAAGGTCTTTAAGCATTGAATTCAACGATGTAGACGTTTCTTTCAGATTGCAATACATGCGCGTAAATAATCAGCATTCATACAATAGATTTTGAAAAATATAAACGATATTGTTTCAAGTCTATATTTTTACAAACGTGAACATTTGTCTCAAATATTCGCGCCATCACGCGGGTTTTCCGAAACCCGAATGTCGCACGCTCACTTTACGAATAATTCCGACCCTGATCTCAAATATAGCACTAAATAAAGTTCTTTATATTTCTTATATCCCTTTTGAATTGAATTTGATGGACAATTTTTTATAGATAAAGTACCTATGAGAATAGATTATTGAATGTTTGAAAGTCTTCACAAATAAAATCGTTATGTGTTTTTACTTCGGAATTTCCAAAATTTGGCAAGGCTGATCCAGTCTTAATTTTGCGATCAGCGTTACAGCTGGTGACGTGTTTACAAACATGGCGACTGAAAGGCAACAAGAAACTTCAGTGCCTTTATATTCAGTTTCGTCTCAGCAAAACACCGCGGATTCCTACAATTCAAATAGACCTGTACAAGATGAGTTTATGTTTCGTAGTTCGTCGCCTGACTCGAATGCGGATTATTTTGGGAGCATAGATAATTCTCAGTCAAACGCTGGGGGTGACAGCAACTCGAATGCGTACAATTTGGGCAGTATTTTTACTAGGAAGAAATTTGCGTGGCTTTTAGAAATAGATGATACTGGAGATGATGATGATGTGGATAAACCTCTGTTGTATGTTTTGGATAATTTTTTGGTATACCAGAAATTAAGTGATATGAAAAATAGCAAAGTTGTCAACAACTAGTTGAGTTAAAGTTGTAGACGTAAGCTTTTATATCAAGTTGCTACAAGGTTGTCACTCACAACTTGTTGGCAAATTGTTGAATTGCAGGACGATAACAAGCTGTTGGGACAACTTGTAACAAGTCTGTTGAACTCGACCATTGATGTCATCTGTGCATCTATAACTGAATAGACAGGCCTATGGAATTATAATCCCACATTATGACGTCATACTGTGTATCTATAACTGAACAGACAACGGCAAAATTTTATCTATTTGTTACATTTACCCTAAAACTGCAACAGTATGTTCATCAACTCTAAATTTTTTTCAATCTGCTTTCTAGGGAAGAGCTTGACATTGATGTAAATGATATTTACTACAAAGTTCGATGTGTTTTGTTCCCACTGCCATCACTTGGCTTTCAAAAAGATGTGTTAAGACAAAATCCTGACTTCTGGGGACCTCTCTTTGTTGTCATTGTCTATGCTTTGCTTGCCTTATATGGCCAGTTCAGAGTGAGTATCTTAAATTTGAAAATTTCTGATTCCCCCCATTGAAAATTTCTGATTTTTTCACCACCACCCCTGGACCCATTGAAAATTTCTGATTGTTTTTACCACCCCCTGGACCCATTGAAAATTTCTGATTTTTTCACCACCCCATGATCTGGAACTTTTGGAATATACAATTACTTTATGGTTTCCGTGTTTGGATGGCCTGATCCAAACACGCGGGAATGTTGCGAGGGTTAAGAAAAGCGAGCGAAATCACGAGCCGAAGGCGAGTGATTTTGCCTGCTTTTCTTAACTCGAGCAACATTCCCAAGTGTTTGGATCATTCCATCCAAACACGGAAACCATAAAGTAATTGTTTTATAAAATAACAACGACACGATAGTCTTCCGTGTTTGGATGGCCTGATCCAAACACGGCTTTCGACCAATCAGAACACGCGTTATATACATGTTATTTTATAATATTATTTCAAGTCATGTACTCATAACCATTGTAATTACCACTGCAAGCACAATACCATGTATGGTACACCAGAATAATTACCATAACATAATATGTTTATGCATCATTTCCACAATTACACAGACAAGATTCATTGCTAACAAACTCAATTAATTTTCAGGTTGTTTCATGGATAATCACAATTTGGGTTTTTGGATCGTTGTTGATTTTTCTCTTAGCAAGGGTACTAGGTGGAGAGGTATATATATTTTTTATAATTCGTAACTGTTCCTTTATTTAATAATGGGTCGTTCCAGAAAAGATCCATACTTCCCCCACAGAGGAAATTTCTGCTGTCCAGAGGGGGAAGGGAGAAAAAATTGTTTCTGATAATAGTAAATGTATTAGGACATCCGAAGGGGGTAGGGGGGTTAACTTTGTATTTCCTCCGTGGGGTGGTATGGATGTTTTCTGAAATGACCCAATGGAAATAAGTTGATTTACACTTCACACTATTTATGGTTGCCCAGACAAGTATATGCAGTTTTCCAAATAATGGAGGTCTTGCTCTACTATAGTAATTACTCATCCTTGGCAGTTGCTCTTGCCCTAAATGATGGCAGTGAAACATAATTTTGCCAAGTACAAGTCACCATGAAAACACGTTGGACTCATTTCATTGTGCACACACTCTGACCCAATAATGTTGCTTTTGAGTACTATATGATAGTTTTTTTATAATTTTAGTTTATAATTTATACTAGGTAACATTTTCTCAATGTCTTGGAGTGATTGGTTATTCTGTTTTACCACTTATTGTTACTGTTTTGGCACTGATCGTCTTCCACAGTATTCCTGTTCTCAACATAATGATTAAAGTAAGTGTGGTGAATTATTTTTCTCTGTAAAAATGAACAATAATTACAAAGGTAAGTCAACGTGAATGGAAAAATTTTTTTTCCTTGTTAAAAATCATGCTGTCGAGACTAAAAGCTGATTCCTTATTTAACAAAAATATTTTGTAATGTGAAAGCTATTCACAAAATAAAGATTTCGTATTGGAAAAAGTAAATATATTTGTCCAAAGTCTTTTATTACTGAGGCCAGCGGCTGGTTGTTCAAAGCTGGATTAGCTTAACCCTAGGTTAACCTATAATTCAAAGCAAACTTCCTCACATCTTGTTATGTCTATAAATTTGGAAATATTTCTTGAGAGATCTTCTTTGGATCGGTAGGAGTTTACTTCTCTGAAGTTTTGAAATAAACAGACGTGCAGAAATACACAAACCAAAACAGCAGGTTAAATTTTAACCCAGGGTTAGCGCTAACCCACCTTTGAACAACCGGCCCCAGTTGTTCGAAAGCTGGATTAGCTTAATCCTAGGTTAACGAAAATTTCAAAGCAAACTTCCCATTCTTTTTTTTTAAACATGAAGGTTTCCAGGATTCTTGTCTGTATCAAATGAAGTTTTATTTTTCAAAGTTTTGAAATAAACTGAAGTGCGGATGTTAGCACTAATCCAGCTTTGGTTAGCGCTAATCCAGGGTTAGCGCTAATCCAGCTTTGAAAAACCTGCCCCTGAATGTTATAGCAATTAAAACTACAGGAGTGAGGAAGTTTAGCTAAATTGTTTGATTTTATGTCTGCCACACACGCAATGAAAAATAGTATCACTGAAAATTGCTGAAACTTCAATTCTCCAAGGGGTTTTTATTTGAGAATGGGTCGTTCCAGAAAAGATCCACACTCCCCCCACAGAGGAAATTTCTGCTGTCCGGAGGGGGACAGGAGAAAAAATTGTTTCTGATAATAGTTAGTGTGTTAGGGCATCCGAAGGGGGTAGGGGGGGTTAACTTCCAATTTCCCCCGTGGGAGAGGTATGGATGTTTTCTGGAATGACCGATTCATAAAAGGACACACAACCTTAAAATTTCTCCCACCCACATTTTCGCGCTCCCTTTTATGGATATTGCCTTGTGTTATCATCGGAGAGTTATTAAATTTGAGAAATGAGGTTGTGTGTACTTGGGTACTTTAGAAGTTGACCATAACACTTTGTACTAAACCTACTTTTGTATAGTAGTGTAGGGTTTCATAACCCAAAATCATCACCCACTGTATATGTGCAAGAACTTGTGGTTTTAAGCTCGTCAACTCAGTGATGACCTCTGTAGCTCAGTTAGAGTGCTGCACTTGTTAGAGACTGCTCTTGATCAATCATTGCTTGTTTTCTCCAAATTTTAGTTACTTGGTGTTGTTTGGGCGTCCTACAGTGCTGGTTCATTATTGGTCCAAGAGGAACTTAAGGATAAAAAACCTCTTTTGCTCTATCCAATATTTCTACTGTATATTTACTTTTTTTCCTTGTATAGTGGCGTATAAGTATGCTTGCTTTATGCTTCTGGTAATAAATAGGAATGCCCAATTTTGTCAAGACCCAGGGCGCGAAATAACGGCCGGAGGCTCGCCTGTCAAAGTAACCGGCCGACTCAATTTTAGCTCGGACATACCGAATTTCTGGCCGGTCAAATTATTCAGCTTAAAGCAAAGCCTAGTAAAGTATACCCCTGAAATGTGATTATTTTCCAAGTATAGCATTATATAAAAAGCCTAACCTGATAAAACAGCCGCTTATTATTGCTCGTTCCTCCCAAGGCCAGGGAAGAACTGAAGGGGCATTATGGGCGGCTGTTTTATCAGGCTATTAAAATGAAGTTAGTTTGTTCTTTTACCGAAAGTACGTGACCGGTCAATATGACCAGCTAGGTAAGAATTTGAGCGGACAATTCTGCATTCTGGCTGGACATTGCCAGTTGACTGGCCGTTATTTCGCGCCTTGCTGATTGTTGCCAAGGAGTTAATCAATGCTCTGTATAGCTTGTAAAAATATTAAGAGACTGATGTTTAAATGAATATATTTTTTCTATGAACATCACAAATGTATATTATACACAGTTGACTAGTTAAATGATCGAGGTTAGATTTATACAGCGTTCATACTTGTATTGTAAGGAAGAGTCAAATTCAAGGTCTATTAAATACTGAAACTTTAATGAGTTTCAAACAGCTTTGTCAGACAGTTTTTTTTATACATTTTTCGTGTTAAAAAACATACATATGCATTATATTATTTCACATTTTGAGCAAAATTTGTAGTATTTGGCACCAGAACAGCCACACACTGAGCAAAATATTTTGGTAAATGTCCTTTGACACTTTGACTCTCAACAAACACTGGCTAGGTTCACAGCGCTACAAGAATGGCGGGAATGCGCGGGATCTCCAACCACGAATTATTAATTAACTTTATTTTGCCCTAACTTTTTATTTTGCGGTGAGTTAACTTTATTTTCCCGTGAGTTTCAATTTTGTTTTGCCGTTGCAGTTCATTTTATTTTGCTGTGGCTCCGTTCATACTTTCGCTGTGACTCTTGTGGGTTACCCAAAACTCTTCCAAGCTTGGTGGGATTAACGGATCACTTCATTTAGCCAATAAGATTACGAGCTTTTTTGGATCGTGATCTGATTGGTTAAAATGAAGGCGGACCAGAACGTAGACGGGTGCCTACAAAATGGCGAAATAGCTGGTAACCTGGCACACTGATCCTGGCGTGAAACTTAAACTTTAGAACTTAAAATAGTTTAATTTAGGTTTTTAATCGTGTTTTTAAATTGATTATGACATAAACAAGTAGTAAAGATACATTTTTAGATTTTTACAAGTTAGATAAAAAGCACAAAACTCACTGCTAACTTTTTTAGTCGCAAATCAATTGATCGGTAAATTTATAGAAGATCTGTTTTATCCGAAGCGCCGAAGGGAAAATTAGAAATAAAATTTTTAAAAAGAAAAGTGCCCCATCAGTCCATACTTCCCGACTCTGCTAGCCCGTATCGGTCAAGTCCGTCTCGTGCTAGCCGCTAGAACGCCGTATGTTAACGTTTAAGCTAGATTTCGGCTAAACTCAACGCTATCGTCAGAGGCGGGTGAATAGGTGGCTTACCAACCGGTATCGAACAAACGACGGGGGAGGGTGCCGGCGGCCCCCAGACCATTATGCCTGGCACCCTCTTCGCAAGATCCTATGATCGGTAACTACCACACACAAGTAATAGTAACAGTTTCGTATATAAGTACGTTACAGTTGATTGGTGTGGCGCATGTGGGACGCTTTGGCTCGGTGTTTACCAAACCTTTGAAACAAACGCATGCGCGATAACTTGACACTCGGGTAAACGTAGCGCATGCGTGGGCATCATCCAATCAGGACGCAGGAAAATTTTGCACTGGGTCCCGCGAGTTCGTGACACGTGCGAGACGGCTCAAAAATTTCAAAAAATTATTTGTTTGCAAAACAATCGAGGTGAAAATATATATTATTCACATGTATTTGCTTCTCGAAGGTTAAAATTTAACGACTATGTATATCCAAGACGATGAATCGACTGGAAAAGATGAAAGCGAAGTGAAATCTACACCGTGAATTATAAACCAAGAGGTCGCGCCGCTGTTGGTTTCTACTTTCTAGTACTGGCACGAAAGGTACAAAGCTTTATATTTTGTACAGTCTGTCTGATTTGTTTCCTTTTTTGACGATAGTGATGCGAAATATTCTTGTCTAAGGTTTGTTTCAATCGTCAAAAGAGGAAAGTTCTTAGTTTGGCTTGATTAATAGTATTTGTATTTATCAATCCTATATTTAATAATTATTAACTTCCTTTTATACAAACCTGGATATAAAGTTTCTAAAATCTTGCACATAGTGTATATTCTTGCATACAGAATACACCCTTCTGGAAAGTATTTCACCTTCAAGGCTATAAAGCCTAACATCAATCACGAAAAGGATGGCCAAGGTGTTGTCAGTGCTTTCCGGAACCGTGTTTATATTGTATGATTCAGCTAGGATATATGAAACGTTGGATAGTAA